GGCAGGACATCGTGACATCCATCCAGCCTTCCAGCCCGAGAAACTAACTGAAAAGAAATTGATACGAAATAGTATCATTCCCACTGTAGGGATGTTGATTCCCCAGGGGAAATTATTCTTAGTTAAAATCCTAATAAAATACGCCTTGAAATTTACTAAAATATTAATGTATTCTTTCAAAGAATCAAGCTCCCTATCTTACTTCATAGTGTTATATGATTATTGCAATACTTTGAGCTTTATTTGACCTATTTAAACTCAATAGCTCTTTTTTGGTTTTACAAATAAATCAGCCAATATGTATCCAGCAATACCTGAAGATGATTTAAAATATATACCAAGCTCTGTCTAAAAATTGGTCTGAATGGTCCCTTTATCTGTAAACTAGTCTAGTTGTGACTTTTAAAAAACCTGTCTGTAGCATATCCTTTCACTGCCATTAGACTTTTTGAATATATTACTCATTGTTGCCAGAGCTGCTGGCTTTTTCCTTTTTGTGTATCCTGGAAATCCCCTTGCTCATCCCCCAGCTTCCCCCTCCCCTCCAAAGTGAGTCACTTCTTGGTGGCCTTGTGTGGGATCTCAGCCAAACTGTAATCTCAGGTAGCTTTTGCACATTACATTGCATAGCGGTTCTTAAACTTTGAGTCCTAAACATTGTCAGGGGAAACTATTAAAATAGAATATATTAGAGGTTCATCCCTGATCTAAAGAGTCCAAATTTCTGGAGATGTGCAGACAAATGTATAATTATAATTGAATGCCTTTTTGTGGAATTCTGTTAAACACCCTGGCTTGAGAACCACTCACAAGGAAACTTCACATTTCTAGCAACGGATATACACTGAATGGCCAGGTTATTATGATCTCTGAACACGTAATAATCTGGCCACTCAGTGTACTTATGTATAAGGGAAAGTGTGTAAATCTTGATATGTCAAAGGACCAGGAGATAGTGGCCCCCAGCCTCTGCTTCTTTCTAACTACCCACAATGCAGTTCCTAAACATGGAAAATCCTTATTTTAAAAACCCAACTTTGTGGTCAGTCTACACTGAATGGCCAGATTATTATGTGTTCAGAGATCATAATAATCTGGCCACTCAGTGTAGATTCCTGGCTATGGATGTTCAGGTGGCACTGGCGTTGTTTCTTTTCTACAGTTGTATATATAACCATAGGTCCAGTTCATGAGACTTGTGCACTGGAGGTGGGGTTCCTTAGCCTGGCCTGCACCCCCTCGCAGTCCAGGACCGCTGGCTCCTTACCACCCGCCTGCAGAGGAGGCAGGAGAGGCTCCCACCACCACCACTGCACTCGCCAGCCCTGAGCCCGGCTTCTGACTGAGCAGCACTTCCCTGTGGGAATGCACTGACCACCAGGGGCAGCTCCTATATTGAGTGCCTGCCCTATGGTGTTCAGTGTGCATCATAGTGACAGGTCATTCCTCCTTTCTGTCGATTTGCATATTACACTTTTATAATATAGAAGTCTAGGAACATTGAAATAATAATATGGCTTTCCCCAGCAGTAAAACATTTGTATGATAAGGCCTATCAGGATGGAAAGATTATAAATGCAAAGAATAATGGCTGGTCTGGGAAAAATTGCTGTGGAAGAATTGGGAACACCTGATTATTTCTGGAAGGTTAAAACAAAAAGATAGTAAAGGAGTTGAAGATTATTACTTCAAGGGAGTGAGAAGATGGCACTGAAAAAATGGCTATGATGGAAGTTAATGAACAAATATTGAATGGACTGGATGAGGTGATGGGGAGCTCACAAAGATAAGAACACATAATTTAATTTACTTCAACAGGTATTTCTTGAGTACTTGTTATGTGCATTGCATTGTCCTAAAATATACTAAGACATGGTTCTAAAATTTGCATTTGTATTTGATTCAGATGGGGAGATTTTTTAAAAATAAAATTCATACTAGCACTATTGAATCTAAATATCTGGGGTTGGAATGAGAAATCTCTAATGTATAAAGCTCCCCAAGTGATTCCAATATGTGCAGTCAAAGGTCCACTGTTTGGGAATCACTTGTACCAGAGACTGTAAAAATAAATGGGGCATAGTCTTTGTTTTTAAGGTATGTACAAAGTGGAATATTAAGCAATATGCTATGCCAATGTTCTTGACTGCCTTATATTCATGGCTTCTGTTTTATTCATGATGTATCCTTTTTCTGAAATGCCATGAAATTATTGTCCATCCTTCAAGATCTATTCAAATGTGGGAATTGGAATCATGTTTCATAATCTCCGTCACCATTTGTCCAACCTCACATCCGTTACACAACCAAATATAAAATCTACCCTTAGATATTCTTCACCTATCATCTCCTTTTCATCCCCATTTCTACCTCTTTAGCTCATCTGGCCATTTAACTCATCTTTCATCTCCATCTGCCCTCCTACCACAATTTATTTTTATGATTCTATTTATCTTGCACAGTTCAATTGTAACTTTTTTTCATATTGAAAATAAAGGTTATTCTTCACTGACACCACTCCTAAGGCAATGGAAACTAAAGAGAAAATAAACAAATGGGATTACATCAAAATAAAAAGCTTTTGCACAGCAAAAGAAACCATCAACAAAACAAGAAAGCCCACTGTATGGGAGAACATTTTTGCAAATGTTATCACTGATAAAAGTTTAATCTCCAACATCTATAGGGAACTTATACAACTTAATGAAAAGAAGATAAATGATCCAATAAAAATGGGCAATAGAACAGAGTCATATGAAAACATGCTCAAAATCACTAATTATCTGAGAGCAGCAAATCAAAACGACAATGCAGTACCATCTCACACCTGTCAGAATGGCAATCATCAACAAATCAACAAATGACAAGTGCTGGCGAGGATGCGGAGAAAAAGGAATCCTTGTGCACTGCTAGTGGGAATGCAGGCTGGTGCAGCCACTGTGGAAAACGATATGGAGTTTCCTCAAAAAACTAAAAATGTCCGAAACCGGTTTGGCTCAGTGGATAGAGTGTCAGTCTGCGGACTAAAAGGTCCCAGGTTCAATTCCGGTCAAGGGCATGTACCTCGGTTGCGGGCGCATCTCCAGTGGGGGGTGTACAAGAGGCAGCTAGTCGATGTTTCTCTCCCATCGATGTTTCTGACTCTATCCCTCTCTCTACCTCTCTGTAAAAAAATCAATAAAATATATTTAAAAAAACAAACTAAAAATGGAACTGCCATTTGACCCAGTAATCCCACTTCTAGGAATATATTTCAAGAAACTAGAAACACCAGTCAGAAAGGATATATGCACCCCTATGTTCATAGCAGCACAATTCACCATAGCTAAGATTTGAAAACAGCCTAAATGCCCATCAGCAGATGAATGGATTAGAAAACTATGGTACATCTACACAATGGAATACACACTATAAAAAAGAAGGAACTTTTACCATTTGCAGCAGCATGGATGGACCTGGAGAGCATTATGTTAAGTGAAATAAGCCAGGCAATGAAAGAAAAATACCACATGACCTCACTCATTTATGGAAAGTAACATTATAACTTGATGAACAAAAAGATAGATACAGAGGAAATAAAGCACCAAACAGACTGTCAAATTACAGTGGAAAGGCAGGGGAGTGTTGGGGGGTCGGGGGTGGGGGAGATCAATCAAAGGACTTGTATACATGCATATAAGCACATAATGGACACAAGACACTGGAGGGGTGGGATGAGGGCATGTGACAGGGGGTAGGGGAAGCTGGGGGAAGTTGAATGGGGGGGGGAGAGATATGTACTACTATATGTAATACTTTAAACAATAAATAAATAAATAAATAAATAAATAAATAAATAAATAAATAAATAAATTGCTACCAAAGGAAAGAAAACAAAAAAAAAGAAAAAGAAAATAAAGGTTACTATTTCCTCATTACCTACAACATTGGGGCTAAAAATACTCCACATTCAAAACTTACTGCATCAACTAAACTTCCTTTGATTATAAGCAACAAAACCAACTCTGGCTAGCTTAAGCAGAAAACGATATAGACTAGTTCAGCAAATTCAAGTTCCAATCATTTCCCTTCTTTGTATGATTCTCAAGATTCTCAGTCTTAGAGATTGCCTGATTGAACATATTTCCAGCTCTTCTTAATAGGGCAATGGGGGACCAACTAGAATTATGTTCACTGGGGAAAGATACTTCTTTAAAAGCAAAATTAGGGTGCCATTACCAAAATCATAAATGAATGTTAAGGGGCAAAATTAAATGTCCATATACTCGAAGTATGGCTCCAACCCAACTTAAGTAAAATTGGAAACAATGGAGAGGAATTCTGTGCTTTCTTTTCTGAGACATCAGAGGTCAAATGGGTGAAATACCGTATTTTTCGGACCATAAGACGCACTTTTTTTCCTCCAGAAGTGGGAGGGAAAAGTCTCTGCGTCTTATGGTCCAAATATAGCCTACACATATACTTTAAAAAAAAAGTTTTTTTACTTGCCCGGCTCTAAAATGGTTCTAAATGCTGCTGTTTACTTTACAGGGTTGATTACATGTGTATATGACTGTGATGTTGGGTTTTAATGCACATAAAATATTTTAGGACACTATTTGTTTCAGAATCTTTTTTTCTTCATTTCCCTTCTCTAAAAACTGGTGCGTCTTATGGTCCGGAGCGTCTTATGGTCCGAAAAATACGGTACCTAAAAACCATGGAATTGTTCTCTTTAATAAATGTGTGTAGCAGAAGTAATTGTTTGTTTTCCAGAGGAAGCTAACACTGGATAGCCTCCGTGTCCTCGCTGTTGGAAGATGAGAGAGATTAGTGGTTTGAAGTAAATGTTTTAATCAATGTGTGCACGATTTGAGGAGTCATTGTGCATTTAAGGGTAGAGATAAACTGCTTTCATTTTTTTTTTCTGTCTGTGATCAACCAATTGCTACATGACTACAATGTCCTTTGCCAACACCCTATAGTATTTTTTTTTTTTTTAGTAAGTTAACCACCATAATACAAGAACAGCCAGAATTTTATTGGGGAGGAAGTGAGTAGTGTAACAGCAACTTCTGTGTCTTTAGGAGGGCAACAAGTCTTCCACTTCCAGATTTAAGAAAGGCACAATAATCTCCCGCAGTTCCCACATTCTGCGGCGCCCAAGCATTGTAGGGAGCGCCTTTTCAAAGATAAACGTGGCGTCAAAAAATAATATGTAACACGAAAGTGCAGTGAAGGTGAGGGCATAAAATAGGATGAAAATCCTCAGTGCACGTTTCCTATAGGGAAAGAAAACATGTGTTAAGAACATTCTGAAGAAAACCACACTGCCGTGACTCCTGGCTCCTCCACCCAGGGAGCTCTATAACTTCATGTAAGTAACTGAACTTCTCTTGACCTCAGGTGACATCTGCAAAATAGTTGAGCACTTAAGTTCATTTTAGGACTGACACTGGAATTCTAACACTCTGTAGTTGTGAAATAATGAAACCCTCGATATTGTGGGGCTCTTTCCTTTGAAATGCTCTTCTCACAGATGATTGCCATCTTTACCTCATTTATGAGGTTTATATGATGCCTGTTTGGGAGAAAATAAAGGCATAGGGGAATTAGGTTTTCTTCAGGACACAAAGTACAATGTGACAAATGGAACTCAGCCCTCTCTGTTATCATTTTTGTCCTGGCATCAGAATCACCCTTACAAAGTAATAGAAGCTTTTCCAAGTCTGAGGACTCCTCCTCCTGGGCTGTGATTATAATGTAGTTTATTTCTTTGTTTTTAATTTCTTGCATTATTATTTTCTAACTAGAGGCCTGGTGCACGAATTCACGCACTGGTAGGGTCCCTTGGCTTGGCTGGCAATTGAGGCCTATTGGGGGGCTGGCTGGCAGGGGAAAGGGACCACAGAAGATTGGCTGGCTGGCCAGGGGAAGGGGCTGTGGAAGGTTGGCCTGCCAGCCCTCCCCCATCCCTCCACTGCCCCGATCAGGGCCCAGGAGGAGGGATCATAGGAAGTCGGCCAGTTGGCCAAGGGGAGGGGCTGTGGGAGGTTGGCTGTGGGAGTGCACTGACCACCACAGGGCTGCTCCTGCATTGAGTGTCTGCCCCCTGGTGGTCAGTGCACATCATAGTGACTGGTTGACTGGTCGTTCCAGTCATTTGGTCATAATGGTCGCTAAGGATTTTACACGATTAAGGTAGAAGATCTGAAAAATCAAAAAGAAAAGACATGTCACAGATAAACCAGTTACCTGAAGGTAATCTCCATCTGTAATACATTTCAGAAGAGAAACTCTAGCATGCAGTTCAAGCTAACTATGGGTCTATTTTGTGACCTCACTCAAGTAGATTCTGTAAATCTGAGTCAAGTTTCTTGGCATTATCACCACTGGCTATCTCTTGGTAGTTCTACAAATAATTGCTTCTACTTCACATATTAAAGAGAACAATCCATGGCTTTTAGTTTATTCATAAGCTTGTTCAACCATCATCACTATTTAATTTCAGGGTGTTATCATCACCCCATAAAGAAAACCTGTACCCACGAATAGTTGCTTTCTTTCTTTTTTTTCCTTTTTTTCTTTTTTTTTTAAATTTAATATATTTTATTGATTTTTCACAGAGAGGAAGGGAGAGAGATAGAGAGCCAGAAACGTCGATGAGAGAGAAACATTGACCAGCTGCCTTCTGCACACCCCCCACTGGGGATGTGCCCACAACCAAGGTACATGCCCTTGCCCGGAATCAAACCCGGGACCTTTCAGTCCGCAGACCGACGCTCTACCACTGAGCCAAACCGGCTTTGGCAATAATTGCTTTCTATTTCCCATTAACCCCAGGCCTGCCAATCATTAATCTATGTTCTATTTATATGGATTTTCCTATTTTGAACATTTCATATGAATGGAATCATGTAGTGTGTGTCCTTTTGTGTCTGGCTTCTTTCACTTAGCATAACATTTTCAAGGGTCATCTACTTGTTAACTATTATAAAAATGCTGCTGTGAACATTCATGTACAGGTGTTTTGTGAGCATATATATTCAGTTCTTTTGGCTGCATATCTAGGTATGGGTCATATGGTAGCTCCATTAACATTTTTAGGAACTGCCAAGTTGTTTGCAAAGTGACTGCACCATTTTACAATCCCACTAGTCATTCCTGAGGTTTTAAATTCTGCACATGCTTGTTATTGTCTATCTTTTTAACTATACTTAACTTACTGGTATAAAGAGGTATCTCATAATTTTGATTTGCATTTCCCTAATGACCAATGATGTTGAACATCTTTTTGTGTGCTTGTTGGCCATTTGTATATTTTCTTTGAAGAAATGTCTATTTAACTCCTTTGCTCATTTAGGAAATTGGGTTGTTAGTCTTTGTTTTTGGATTGTAATAGTTCTTAATGTATTCTGAATACTGGGATCCTTAATTTACAGGATTCTGAAAAAATTTGTTTCTGACCATTTTTCCAGCTCTCTTATTGACTATAATTTTGGAGGTCCACCATTTTCATTGGCATTATTCCTCACTTAACTAATTTTTGTTGAACATGGTGAATGTCTATTTTTTAAAATACATTTTTATTGATTTCAGAGAGTAAGGGAGAGAGAGAGAGAGAGAGAGAGAGAGAGGGAGAAACATCAATGATGAGAGAGAATAACTGATCAGCTTTCTCCTGCATGCCCCACACTGGAGATTGAGCCCACAACCCCGTCATATGCCCTGACCAGGAATTGAACCATGACCTCCTGGTTCTTAGGTAGATGCTTAACCACTGAACCACACTGGCCGGGCTCTACTTCTGATTCTTTATCCCAAACCACAAAACCAGGAGAATCTTCAGCTCCCTCTTTTGTGTGCACTATACCTTGCACATAATCCTGACATGGGACCCACAGCATATTATTGCAATTAAATTATTTTAAATCTGTCTCCTAATACTCCATGGGCTACTAAAGGCAGAAATCTTGATCATTTGGGGACTTGAAATATAAAAAATGTTCATCATATATATATTTAAAAGTATATATGCTCATACTCAGGGTATATGTGATGGTGTGGTATCTCTAGGAAGAAGCGCAGAGTCAGAATTTGCTACTATGTATGCCTTCCATACTGTACAAGGGAGAGGCATCCTGTGCAACAAGCAAAGGTTTTCAAATCTGCTTATCAGCTATGCTGCTCTGGTGGAGGAGGCTGCATCACACTCTGCAGACACCACCCTTTAAGACTTTTTACATATAGTTACCTAAAGCAATAAGGAAGAAATGTGTGTGTGTGTGTGTGTGTGTGTGTGTGTGTGTGTGTGTCTAATGCAATTAATCTATATCTAAAAATCAAAATCAAAATACTATGACTTTTAAAGAACAGAAATAATTTGTAAAAGGAGATGAAACAAATATTTAAGTAACACTTGAGGCTTAATCTTACTATTGTTCACACACAAGGGCCTGTCCAGCCCCCACGGCTCTTTTCTCTGACTCACCACAAGGTACAGCGAGGAGCGGAGTTTTGCACCGAAGGGGTCGGGAGAGCATGAAGAAGCAGCTGCTCTATTTCTTCCCCACCCATTTCCTCAGGATTCCGAGAGTCCGTGTGCTCTTCTTTCAATGGGTACATCCCCAGTCTTTTATTCATCACAGTCATGTCCTTGCAGAAGTTCTGGAAAGAAGAACAATCAATTATCATTTTTTTAAAATGACTCCAACCCGGCCGGTGTGGCTCAGTCAGTGGTTGAGCATCAGTCTATGAACCAGGAAGTCACTGTTCAATTCTGGTCAGGGCAAATGCCCAGGTTGCAGCTCAGTCTCCAGTGCAGGCCAATTAATGATTCTCTCTCATCACTGATGTTTCTATCTCTCTTTCCCTCTCCTTTCCTCTCTGGAATCAATAAACATATATTTAAAAAATGATTCTAGGTATCTGCCAGTCTTATTGTGGATGATGCAGAGAGCTTTTCCCCCAGCACACCTCAGGGGCCCACATTGCAAGTCACATGTGAGTCATCTGAGGCGGTCACTGACAGATATTCTCACCTAATAGAAAAAGGCACTATCACAGAGTAAGTTAGCACCATTGTATAACATGAAACAAAAGCCACATGTTGGTCTTTGCTGGGCTATTCACATAGAAAGATAATTATTCTCGTACTGAATTTATCTATCCAATTTGTTCATCTATGTTAGGACATTTTTTTATTTATTGATTCCTAACAGGCACTGTTCTAGGATGCATTGGCTAACAAAATAGACAAGGGATGTGCATCGTATTGCATGTAGGCTTTTAAAAGCAAACTAGACAAAGAATTACATGCTAAACACATATACACATTAGATATTATAGATTAAGATACTCGCCAAAGACAAAATAAACAAGGTGCTGAGACCAAGTAGCTGAGGTTTGGTGGTGGGCATCTGCTCTAGAAAGTGGGATCACCAGCCACCTCTGAACGTGTGACAGGTTGTTCATTTATTCACTGTTTCATTTTTCTTGGTAAGGAAGATAAGGGAATGTCTGAAAAAGATGACATATGAGCTGAGCCTTGAAGAGAGGGTAATATGTAGTGCATACAGGGTAAGCTCCAGATGGAGGAGATGTGGAAGAGCCCAGAGGTGTGACATGTTCTGTTGGCCCAAAGCAGAAGGCCAGGAGGGGAAGAAGACAGCAATAAGGGTAGAAAGAGATCAGTATGTGGTACCCTCTCCAATTCTAGGGAAAAGATTGCCTCTCTATTTATATTTAGTTCATTTTATCTTACTATTCGAACTCACGTGACAGTGAAATCTTACCTCTATTTTTGCAACAAGTTTCTCCTTTAATTCATGAGCTTCATTACAAGCATCAACCTGAAAAGACACCCACAATTTGGGATAAAATAGAAATTATATTTTTCTGGTTTATACAATAATGTCTTACTCATTTTTGATGCCACTTAATTATAAAGTAGTTTTAATGAAAATTACTTTTACTCAAGTAAAATCCTTGCTCCCTGGAGCAAATTCATAGTGTAATTATAATAAATTGCAGGAGCAATAACCAAAAGATTCATACAATTATTTTCAATGCTTTAGAAGTGCAAATTTTTATTAACAACTGCTTAAAATAAATCATCTTTTTCTCTTCTTATTGCTCTTCCCTGGCTCCTTAAAAACCATCCACCAGGCCACTAGTTAGAGAAACAGAGTGTAATTATGAAGAAAAAAAATAAAATTATGTATCTTTTAAAAATTTATAATATATAAATATTAAATCCTCATTATGTTAGTTCGACTATTTGGGCCTTATGGTTTAGCAAAAAAACCATCCATGAAAGCTGTGTTTCCTCTTTCCTTCCCATGTCTCCTAGAGGCTGCCAGGTAGAGGTAACAGATGGATTTGGTTGGTTTCTATTGTAAGATCAAGACACAAGCTGAAAGCAAACCATCTAAGACATAAATGCCCACTGCACATACGTCAGGAGTAAAACATTTTAAAGGTTTTAAATAATCATCCCATAATAGATTTGCAGCATGACTTGAAGAGCAGAGCTATAGCAGGAAGAACAGTCCTCTGGGATTCAAGAAAGATGGGTTCTAGATAGAGGTGCCATTTCTAGAAATTTATTGAGTTGGAGTGGTAAACGCACAATACAATATGCAGATGATATATTATAGAATTGTACATCAATGTCACCCCAATAAATTCAATCTTAAATTTTATTTATTTATTTATTTAAAAATAGAAATTGATTATTAAAGGAGCCCTTGCCAAAACAAGCAAAGATATGGGTTTCTGAGGCATCGTTTGTAATGGAAAACATGGATTATAAAGCCCCAAATATACAATAAAATAAATGTAATATGTCTAAAAATCAAATCCTGCATTGTAGAAACAGCAGAAAGGTAAAATGACATCTAGTAGCTTAGAATGTTTTTAAAGAAAAAAACATTCTAAGTGAGCCTTAGCCGTTTGGCTTGGTAGACCCTGAGGACTGAAGGGTCTCGGGTTTGATTCCAGTCAAGGGCACCTATCTCTGTTGCAAGCTCCATCCCCTTCCCTGGTTGGGGCATGTGCGGGAGGCAACCAATCAATGTCTCTCTCTCATATTGATGTTTCTCAGTGTGTCTCTTCCCCTCCCTTCCACTCTCTCTAAAAATCAACAGACAAATATTCTTGGGTGAGAATTAACCAAAAAAGAAAATAATAATAATAAATATATATAACAAAAAATGCAAAGTGAAAATAGCAAGTTGCAAAAATATATATATATGCAATATAATCCCATTAAAATAACAATATGTATAGAAAGATTTGATAGAATATAAATATACAGGAATGCTCACTGTGCCCCAGCCATGTGGCTCAGTTAGTTGGAATGTCATTCTGTACACCAAAAGATTATAGTTTCAATTCCTGGTTAGGGTATATACCTGGGATGCAGGTGTCAGGACACATATTAGAAGCAGCCAATAGATGTTTCTCTCTCTCTCTCTCTCTCTCTCTCTCTCATTCTCTCTCTCTCTCTCTCTCTCTCTCTCTCTCTCTCTCCCCCCAACCCTCCCTCTCTCTCTCTCTCCAACCCCTCTCTCTCTCTCAAATTGATGGAACATGTCCTCAGGTGAGATTAAAAAAATAATGTTCACTATGTTTATTGTTGAGTGAGTAGGATTATTTTTTATTTTAATATCAAAAAGTTCTATAATGTTTTACTTATTAAAATAAGCATATATTACTTTTGTTAAGAGAAAAATATATAAATATATATTAAATATGTTTGTATATTTAGATATATAAATACATGTACCTGTATATATTAAAATAAATATATATTAATATATTCAGAATACATACATGTACATATACATATGAATATACACATACATATGATATACACATACATATGAATATATACATATATTCATACACGTACATATGAAGATATACATATATTCATTCAAGAACAAGACTTTTTTCATTTGGAAATATGGGCATATCACTTCATATTTCTGAGTCATGCTTTTCTCTTCTGAAAATAAGGGCATAGATTATATGACCCTAAGTTCTCTTCTAGGTTTAAAATTCTATTTTTCATCAAATTTTAGACTCCATCACTAAAATTCTCTAAATCTGAGATTTCTTTGAAGAAATCAATTATAAAGCCATTTTTATTATTACCTGGACAAATTTGTTATCCATTTCTCCTAGTTGCTTTTTAATTTCCACAATCTTCTCCTTTTAAAACAAAGGGTATAAAACAAAAGTTATAAAGAATGATGTAGGAACTGAAACAAAACAAGTTATGATTTTTCAGAAGAAAGCTAATTCATGATCAAAAGTTTGAGGTTTAATAGAAGCCATTTCCCCCCCTTATTATTCTAGGTGTTGATATCCAAAGTCAATATTAAATTAAATCAAGATATTATTGGCCATATCCTACATAAAAGACTACTGAGCTAGGCACTGTGCTGATTGGATATCAATAAAGAGTATTTGCTCTCAGCGGCTGCCAGGCTGGGAGCGGCCAGGCCCGGAGCGGCCGGGCCCAGAGCAGCCGGGTCGGGTGTGGCCAGGCCCGGAGCAGCAGCAGCCAAGTCCAGAGCAACTAGGCTGGGAGCAGCAGTGACCAGACCTGGAGCAGCTGGTTGTGGAACGAACCAGAGCAACAGAGGCCAGGCCCGGAGCAGCCAGGCCCGGAACAGCTCACTCCTCGCCTGCCCCTGCCCCATGGCTGCCTCTCAGACATGGCTGGAAACTTTTGTGGGAACTTGAGGGTCTGTTGAATCAAGTGATGAAGGCTTAGATTTGGATGTGTTGAGTTAGTATAGCGCTGGGGTGTTGATCTGTGAGTGCCTTGGGTGGGGCCTGGATGAGGCTGGTTGACCTATTTGGAAATGTCTTTTGTATGAAGTGTATCATTGGGAATGTGGAGGTATTATTGATATGAGAAAATGCTAAGTAACTGATTTACTATCTGAAAAGGGATTTACTATCAGGGAAAGGGAGGGAGGAATAGACTGAACATAAACTGTGCACCTATGGATGAGGACAATGGGGGATGGGGAGGGGGCGGAGGGTGGGGTGGAAACCTGGTGGAGGGGGAAGAAATGAGGAACCTTTGTAAAAATATGAACAATAAAGATTGATTTTTTTAAAAAAAGAGTATTTGCTCTCAAACAGCTATAGAGAATGTATAGTCTACACCCTTCTTTACCAAGTTTTTTCAATACCTACCCCTGAACTGTGGCATTTAATTATTTAGAAAATAGCTGTGATATAATCATCATATTTTACTTGGTGCCCTGGTTTGTTTACATAGAAAATATATTTATACAGTACTATCAAAGATAACTGAGATGTAAGTCTTAGGATAAAAGTCTAGATATTCTCATGGAGATTTCAGAAAATGTGTGGACTTGGGGACTCAATAGGAGGCAATACCCCAAATCTACCTCAACGGTAGATTTTAACTATTCTTGGTTTAAAGGTCTTTTCCATTTGGGGTGTGTGTGTGTGTGTGTGTGTGTGTGTGTGTGTGTGTGTGTTTAAATGCTTTTACCAAATTTCCCTTCTCCACTTTCATGGCTTGCTGAGTCATTGCATTTCTTCATGAGAAATAAATGAGCCAATTCATGTGATATTTAAAACTTCATTAACTTATTTCTCTTTTAGTTTTCCCAAACTTTGTTTGCTGTTCCCATATCTATTTCTAATAATGCTCACTTTCCCCTTTATTACCATTCCTACTGACTTTGCATCTGTAACAATTATTTTTAAAGTTTCTTACTCATTAAACCACTGCATTTGTTTTTACACAGGCTTTCCCATCAACCGTTAGACTTATTGAGGACAGAACCTGTGTAAATTTTTTAAAAGTCATGTTTATTAAGGTTATAATTTATATACAGTAAAACTCACCTTTTAAAAAAGTGAGTAATTCTATGAATTTTGACCAATGCACAGTGTTACATAATCAGCACCACAACAAGGTCTGGAATATGTCCATCACACCCCAAATTTCCTGTGCCCTTTTTTCCATCTCCTACTTCCTTTAATCCACTTGACTCCAGCAATCACTAATCTATTTTTTGTTCCCTTTTTGCCCTTTTCAGTATTACGCAAATGGAACCTGGCTTTTTTCACTTAGCATAATGCACTTGAGATCCATTCATGTAGCTGCATGAATAAGAAGGCCATTCCTTTTTATTGCTTAGTAGTATTCCATTTTATAACATGTGTCATGATTTATCCACACGCCACTTGGGGGATATTTGGGTTGTTTTTAATTTTTATGTTTGAGTCTATATTTTTTAAGTGTATACCCAGCTGTGTAACTCCAGACAGAATCTTCATACATGTTTTTGATGTCTTTCCTTTTCAAAGTATCCCAAGCTCTTATTTGTTTTTAAATCTCACTTTCATTTATTTTTGTGCTTGTCTATCTTCCTCCTTGTTCCTTTGATATATATCCCTCTCTAACTCTAACTCCTGCTGAAATCCACATTCCTGTAGGACAGCTGACTCTTGAAAGAATTTTTTAAGGCAAAAAAGTTCTTGGCCTTTGTCCTCTTCCCTCTTTTCATAGTTTGCAATTTCCAAAACCCAAGGACAGTGAAAAAAAAAAATGCTTGACTTTTCAACTAGCACAAAATGAGGTTGCTACTTTAAAATGTTGGACCGAGTCACAGTTAAAAGTAATTTTTTCCTTGGTAATAAATCTGTGCTAATCTGTAGATGGCTTTTCATATGTGAGGGTTTAAATTACATTACCTTCTTACAATAAAAGAGCTATTTCTCCTTTACTTCGTCCAAAATCCACTTAATTTAAACTCTTTGGCTTAAGCTAAAGCTGGGGCTGGCAATTTCATTTAAAAAAATAGGGGGAAAGCTAGACAAAGTCTTTTTCTTTTTTTAGAGACTTTTCTTCAAAGGCCTGAAGGTTAGTAGAGCAGAAAAAGTTATCAGTCAGGGCTCTGAAGTCTTACTTATTTTCAAGAGTTGATCACTACCTTCCTTGCAATATTTTATGAGTCATTATAAAAGGGAAAATTAAACCTTTCTCTAAGTAACATAAGGAGACAAAAACAACAGGAAAACTTAGAGATAGTGAAAATCAACATAGAACACTCTTCATGAAGGAAACAAAGACAGATGCACCCATATCCCTTACACTCTAAGGATGCAGCTCTTCACAAATACGTATTTCCTGTCTTCTCTGTACTGTTAGGTGCTGGGATAAAAGATAAAGAAGAGTTTTCCCATAAGGTACTCATCGTTATCTTAAGATAGCATCAAGATATAACCCTATCTTATTTGTCTGACTGGTTTTCTAGATATAATTTTTTAAAATCTAGCCTTTTTCATACATCAGAGAATAGAAGTGTAGCCAGGCGAAAGGTGCTCAGAACTGACCACCAGATATCATTCCTTCTTGTGACGGAAGAGGGGTTTTAATTCTTCTTATGACCTGTTAAATAATACAAGAGAGGGCAGAGTCCTTCCCAAGCCTCCAGTTTACCTTGATGTTTTCCCCGTTGTCAGGGTCAAGGCCCTGGTGTGACTCCAGCTTTTCAACTTGGCCCTCCAAGGACATCACCTCACTTAATAAGCTGCAAACAGACCAAGAGATGGGCTAAGTCTTGGATTAAGAAAAACCTCCTAATCTTTTTTTAATCTTTGTAGAAAGATCAATTTTAATCTTTTTAAAAAATTAAATTCTATTCCTATAACAGAAGACTCTTGGATAAGTGCTTGTGTTGGAATTGGGAGACATAAATGCAATTCAAAATAAAAAAAATAAAAAACACTCTAAATAATTTAGATAATAGTAAAGAAATGGAAGACATGCCCAGCTGGTGTGGCTCAGTCATGGCTGAGTGGCAACCTATAAACCAAGAGGTCATGGTTGATTCCCGGGTTGTGGGCTCAATCCCCCATGTGGGGGCATGTAGAAGGCTGCAGATCATTAATTCTCTCTCACCACTGATGTTTCTATCTCTCCCTCTCCCTTCCTCTCTGAAATCAATAAAAATATACTTTTAAAAAGAAAGGTTGCTGAAACCGGTTTGGCTCAGTGGATAGAGCCTTAGTTTGTGGACTGAAGGGTCCTGGGTTCAGTTCTGGTCAAGGGCATGTATCTTGGTTGCGGGCACATCCCCAGTAGGGGACGTGCAAGAGGCAGCTGATTGATGACTCTCTCATTGATGTTTCTAACTCTATTCCTCTCCCTTCCTCTCTGTAAAAAATCAATAAAATATATTTTTTTTAAATATTAAAAAAAAATAAAGGTTAAGACCTAACTAGACACAGGAGAAGAAAATTAAAATTATTAAAATGGAAGCTTAGTTAAATTTCTAGAAAAGAACCATGAAAAATTTTTGGGACCTAGGATTAGGCAAAGAGATCTTAGACTTAACTCCAATAACACTACCATAAGAGGGAACATTGATAAACTGGACCTCATTACAAGTTTAAAACTTTTGAGTAGCCAGTCACTGTTAAATGGATTGCATGTCTCATTTCTGGCAAAGGTCTTATATTTATGGTATGTGAAAACCTCTGAAAACGCAACATTAAAAAACAAACTCTCAGCCCAGGCCAGGTGGTTCAGTGTTTGAGCGTCGACCTATGAACCAGGAGGTCCTGGTTCAATTCCCCATCAGGACACATGCCTGGGTTTCAGACTCAATTCCCAATATGGGGTGTGCAGGAAGCAGCTGATCAATGACTCTCTCTCATGATAATGTTTCTATCTCTCCTCTTTGAAATTATATATATATATATATATATATATATATATATATATATATATATATTAATATATATATAATTTTCCAATTAGAAAATGAAAAGACATGCACAGAACTTTCACCAAGAAAGTATATAGATGGCAAAAAAAAACACAACCCACATGAAATGTTTTTTAAAACATTAGGCATAAAAAATTTCCAAATTTAAAACTACAGTGAGATATCACTACACATGTAACTTATCAGATAGCTAAGATAGAAAATATCGATAGTGATAACATTAAATGGGTGTGGAGAATTTGGATCACTCATACATTGGTGATGGGAATGTAAAATGGTACGAACACTCTGGGAAATAGTTTGGCAGTTTCTGTCAAAATGAAACTAAAAACAGACTTACCCTATGACCCATTGATTTCACTCTGGGACAATTGAGAAATTAAGATTTATTTTTATGCAGGAAGTTGTGCATGAATGTTTCAAGTAGCTTTTTTCCTAATAGCCCCAAACTAGAAATTGTGCAATTGTCTTTTGGGGGGTGAATGATTAAACAAAATATATATATATCCATACCACAGACTACTTATTCAGAAGTGAAAAGGAAGGAACTATTGATATATGCAACAACGTGGGTGAACCTCAAAGGAATTATGCCAAGTGAAAAAAAAACTAATCTCAAAGGGATACATATTACATGATTTGATTTATGTAATATTCATGAAATAACATAATTATAGAAAACAGATTTGTTGTTGGCAGGAGTTAGGGATGTGTGAGGGAGAATGAATGGTTGAAGCTACAAAGAAGTAGAATAAAGGAGTTAAAAAATCTTACCACAATGAAATACCAAGGAAATATGACTTCCTGGTGAATTCAACTAAACATATAAGGAATAAACTATGACAGTTTCACACAAACAGGTAGGAAAACATCCAATTTTTTTTCCTGTGAAGCAGGTATTCTTCTTCTACTAACACTACACATTACAAGAAAAGCATGGACCAATCTCTCTCGTCAACATATTTATAAAAATTTCACTTTAGTGAAGTGAATTCAACAATATATAAAAAGGATAACATATTATGACCAAGTGAACTTTATTCTGGGAATTCAAGGCTGGTTCAGCATTCAATAATTAGTCCTTATAATTCACCATGTCAAGAGACTACTAGTACAAACAAATGCAAAGTGATTATTCATAGAATTGAAAAAATCAGATTATTCTGCTGTTAAAAAAATCAGTCTATTAGGAATATAAGAATATTTCCTGGGCCTCTAGTTGGTTAATAAAATTATATAGGTTTCAGGTGTACAATTCTATAACACATCATCTGTATATTTTATTGTGCATTCCCCACCCCAAGTCAAGTCTCCTTCCATCACCATTTATCCTTTTTGCCCTCTTCTATCAATACTTCCCCCACCCCAATTTCCTCAGATAATCACCATACTATTGTCTGTGTCTATGAGGTTTGGGGGATATTTTTGCAATGTTTTAATCCTTACCCAAGGAGGACTAAATATATATATTTAATTCTTACCCAATATATATTTAGAGAGAGAGAGAGAGGAAGGGAGAGATAGGGAGAAAGAGAGTGATGTGAGAGAGAAACATTTATCAGTTGCCTTCTGTACATGCCTTCACCAGGGTTCAAATCCAGCCAACTGAACTTTATGGCCAGGGAGTTTTTTTGTTTTTTGTTATGTTTTTTTCATTTTCCTTTCTTTCTTTTTTTCTTTTCATAATCTCTTCATCTTTTTCACCCAGTCCACCTTCCCTCTGACAGCTGTCAGTCTGCTCTCTGTATCTCTGAGTCTGTTTTTATTTTGTTCCTCAGTTTGTTTTGTTCATTAGATTCCACATATAAGTGAAAAATGGTTCTTGTCTTCCTTTGACTGGTTTATTTCACTTAGCATAATACTCTCCAGGTTCATCCATACTGTTGCAAAAGATAAGGTTTCTCTTTTACAGCTAAGGAGTATTCCATCGTGTAAATATGCCACAGCTTTTTTATCCACTCATCTATTGATGGGCACTTGGGCTGCTTCCAAATCCTGGCTATTGTAAATAATGCTGCAATTAACTTAGGGGTACAATATTCTTTTGAATTAGTGTTTCGAGTTTCTTTAGATATATTCCAAGAAGTGGAATCGCTGGGTCATAAGGCAGTTCAATAATTTTCTAAGATAACTCCATCCTGCTTTTCCCAGTAGTGCACTGGTCTGCATTCCCACCAATTGTACCCAAAGGTTCCCTTTTCTCAAAATCCTCCCCAACTCTGTTGTTTGTTGATTGATTGATGATAGCCCTTCTGACAGGTGTGACATTAACTTCAAACATAAGACTTTACACTTCTTATCCTAGAGACTTTCCTAAGAACTTTACCACCTTAAGCCCCGAGTTTCTAAAATTTCTGAAGCTATGAAAATTTTAATCATGTTCTGACCAACCTCAGCACTTTACAATTACCTCTTCACTGTGCTTTCTGATAGGGATACCTTTTGTATAATACCGTTAATTTTCTTCATCCAGCCCATGTGATCATCTCCGAGTTCTTTCACTTGTAGACCCATCTGTGTATTCCAGTGGTTTAGCTGGAAAAACATGTTCTCCTGATTCCTGCAAAAATATGATTATGATCAGTTTTAAAGTAGAAACAATGGGAAACATCTCCCATGGTCCAAACCCTCTTGTTTTAAAGGGTAAGTTGGTTTGCCTTTTCATTTTCTGTCACCAAAATAGGGCCCAGAGGCAGGTAAGCCTCAAGAAAGAAGTTTGGAAATGTATTTGATATTCATTATAACAGATCTTTTCCAAATCCTGGCCTATTGTAAATAATATACAAAATAAAGCCTATTTTATATTTAGTAAAAACAATAGATATATTTTTAATTTCCCTGTATAGAGTGAATGTTAAGTATTGATTTTAGGATAGTGGTGGTAGCTCAGGGGAGGGGGAGGTATACAATAGGGAAAATGTTTATAGGGGCCTAACAATATATTTTAATGATAATTAGAATACTTTTTATATCTAGAAAATTATCTGAGAGTGATACGGCTCTACCTATATCCTTAGATATATCTTTATTCTGCATTCTTGCTGAACGTGTAGGTAGTTACTTGTGCACATGAGTGCTTCATGGTTTAATTCATGTATGGATTTTAAATCTCCAAAGCTTTCCCTAAGTTCTCTGCTAAATTTATGTTTCCCCTCCACAAAACATGATTACATGTTTCCTTTTGCTTACGTCAAAGCTTACAGTTTAGGGATGTTCTCTGAAAACTGCCAAGATGTGGACAGTTGAGGGTCTTCATGCTTAGCATCATGTGCTTCTTGCTCATCCTGTTTACTCTGCAGGTCCTCGTCACGCTCAGCCTCCAGCTCCAACATATCCTGATAGTGATCATGAAAGAAGCAAAGCAGAACAGAAGGGCTATCACAACAGGTGGTGGTCCCTCTAGCCTACCCATGCCCCCTCGCTGGGAGCAAGCACATAGCTCTCTCTGAGGCCGGAGCCTTCTGATGCATCTGGAAGATAAGCAACATGCTCTCCTGCTCTGTTGACAGAGGAAGGCTGGGCAGGGATATGGAGAACCTCGGTGGTCACAGACACAGCTCTTTTCAGTGCTGCTGAGTACTAGAATTCCATTTTTCTTTTTTAATTTTTTTATTAAATTATTATCTTTGTACATATACCATTGCCCACCCCCTCCCATACATGCCCTCCCTCCCCAGAGTTTTGTGCCCATTGGTTGTACTTATATGCTTGTATATAAGTCCTTCGGTTGATCTATTATCTCCCTCAGATCTCCTTACCTAGAATTCCATTTTTCCACGAACTCTAGCACCCCACTCAAATAAGATGACTGGTCTCTTCAAAAAAAAAAAGTCAGCCCCAAGGAAAAGAAAAAAGGGGGTGGGACAATTCTACATTAAGAGAGTCTAAAAAGATGTAACAACCAAATGCATTGCATAGATCTTGCTTGAATACTGGTTTAAAAAAAAAATACAGCCACACACACACACACACAAAAAAAAAACATTTGGATGTTAATTAGAGAATGAGAATATTTAGAGAATTGAGACTATTAGATTACTGTATAGGATTATTGCTGATTTTTCTAATGTGATAATGACTTTTTGCTTATATAGAAGAAAGTGTTTTTAGAGATGCTATCTGAAATAAACAGAGATGAAATGTCATGCTTTGACCTACTTTTAAATGGCTCAGAATATTCCATCTACTTACATATGTAAAGATAAAGCAATTGTGACAAATGGCAACAATTTTAAAATATAAGCATGAGCAATCAGTACATATTTTTTTAAGTTTTTAAAAATTATTGATTGGTTGGTTAATTAGAGAGAGAGAGATAGGGAGGAAAAGAGTGAGAAAGAGAAAACCATCGATTTGTTGTCCCACTTATGTACTCACTGGTTGCCTCTTGTATGCACCCTGATCAGGTATCGAACCCACAATCTTGTTATATGGGGACCACACTCTAAACAACTGAGCTGCCTTGCCAGGGCTAAGTTGATTTTTTGTTTGTTTGTTTGTTTTTGTTTATAATAAAGAGTTTAGAGGGGGAAAACCTACTCTATCAGCTTGACCTACAAAATTTATTTCTTTGTTTCTTTATTCTTTGCCTTGTTCTAGAAAAACATCTAAGGCATTTTCTGGTCTTTCAAGTCTGTGCACGCACACAACTGACAATGCTTTCTCTCTGAACACTTCTTATCTTTAGTGACTACATTGTAAAATGTTTCTCCTTCCCTTTGAAAATGATTGGTCTGAAATTCTTGTGCTTCAGCAAAACTATTTTTAGACTCAAAGGAGAAAAGGTTGGAGGGGAGATCAATCTCTTATTGAAATCTTTGTATAAACTACTGGCCAAGTCAGTAGAATAACCAACATTCACATAACTCTTTACAAATGTCTTTCGTGCATGCTATTTCTTTTAGTTCTCATGACAGACTTTAGGTGGATAAAGAAAGGTAGTGAAATCCCCTCGCCCATTCACAGTTAGTGATTTGCCCAAGGTGATACAGTGTAGTGGGCTAAGCAGTCACCTTAAAAAGTTACATCTATGTCCTGATAGTAAGACCCTGTCATGTGACTTATTTGGTAAAAGAATCTTTGCAAATATAAGTTAAGGATCTTGGGATAAGATCCTTTTTAATTACCTGGGTGGGCTCTAAATTCAATGATGAGTGTCCTAGTGAGAGACGGAAGAGAAAACACAAACATAAAGGAGATGATCACGTAAAAACAGGCATCCACAAGCCAAGGAGTGCCTGGAGCCACCCAACACTGGGAAAGCCAGGGAAGAGTTCTCTTCTAGAGCCTTCTGAGGGGCATTGCTCTGTGACCTCTTGGTTTCAGAATTCTGGCCTCTGGAACTCTGAGAGAATACTTTTTTAATACTTTGCTTATTGTGGTCATTTGTTACAGTAATCATGAGAAAACAATATATATGATTAGTAAGTGTATGGACCAGAACTTGAATTCGTTTTTCTGATCCTACGACCATGGCTCTTTTCATCATATCCAGGCCTTGAGTTCAGATTAAGAAATATCTCGCCCCTATCACTGTCACTTTCACAACCCACTGGCACCACATCAGTGATATGATGATCATTATCACATTTATAGATGAAGAAACCATGGCTAGATTTCCCAAGTATTATATGACTCAACTATATTTAACTACCTTTTCATGGAAAAAAGGCATCTACAATTTCAATTTCTTCCTATCATAGCTTTTTTTTTTTTTTCCTTACCTAAGGATAAATTTTTATGGATTTAGAGAGAGAAAGAGCAAAGGAGAGAAACATCAATTGGGTTGCCTCCTGGAATTGAACCCACAACCTAGGTACTTTCCCTGACTGGGAATCAAACCTGCCACCTTTTGGTATGTGGGAGGATGCTCCAACCAAATGAACCACCCAGCTAGGCCCACTAATTCATTTGATTAGATAGTCAAAAGCAGCAGACACACTGAGATGTAGAGAAAGATCAAGAATTGGAGGATCTTAATTCTAAGCCTTGTTTTACTGCGGTGGATGCTGAACCATCAGTCAGAACCTTACTTCAGTCCTCATCAGTTCTTGACTCCTAGCGGTGTCCTGGCTTTCAGTCTGCATCCTGCATTATCTCCACATCTTAGTGTCCTGCCTGCCTGCTTGCCCATCATACCTTTCCTTTCACCCTTCCTCTCTCAGAACACAATTTCTTTCTGCACCCCCCTCTCCCCCCATCTTTGTATGAGCAGGCCCATCTTTCTGAAATATTTTCCCCATCCAGTTTATCCTTCAAAACTCGGCTGTCATATCCCCGGCCATCTCCCTGTATGGCCCCTGCCATGACTTTGTAGCACATCCAAGACTCCTAGAATGGATCTTCACAATGGCTGTTCTTTCCTTGTTTGAGCCCTTCCTAGAATGAGTGCTTACTGAGGGGAAGGGAGGCTGTACCTATGTCTCTCCACTCTTCACAGCGCCCAGCACATAATGGACGCTCAATAAGCAGTTTTAGAATAAACAGACTCCAGAAGTAGGCAAATACATTTTGCTTGTGAGAGATGCAGGCAAAAGCAGGAAATAGGAAAATCTGTTCACTCACCTGGCATCCAAAATCAACACTGTGTAGAACAGCGAGAGGGATTAGGAATGTGAAACCAGAGCAAAATAGTATTCATTTCTAAATATTGGGGTGGGGGGGAGAGGGAGGGCGTACTTTGATGGTTAGATAGGGCAGCTTTGGCAGTTTGCCTAAAGTCGATTTTATTAATGAAACCAATTGTGTGTGGTGTGGTTTTTTGCTTTTTTTAAAAAAACTTCTATTAACTCTGTTCATTTTCTGAACCTGTTCTTTAAATCTTATGATCTTCCCTTATAAAAAAAAATTTGTCAGTTTATGCCAAGTATAGAGCTTCCGGTTTGCTTTCAGAGAATAAGAGAAAAATGTTTCTTTCCTATTATCAGCAGACAGGCTAATTTATGAGTACAAAGTGTTAATTATCTAACGGCATGTGATTTACGTATGCAATTGTAGATTTTTCCATGTAAGTAAGTTAATAGGAAGAATACAGTCATAACAACTCAAAAATGTTTTGTTAAACCTTGTGCCCTGACTTGAAGTTTATAAGGAATAGTCTGAGAGTGTGGACTATTCGATAAACTCAGACACAGGGAATAATACTATTTTCTAATTAGACTTATTCTGTCCTGGGTCAACAAGAGATGGTGTCACGGTTCACTGACCAACAGCACTCAGCAAGGCACGTCAAGGCAGGAGAGATGTGGTGGCAAAGGGGGTCTAATGGCAGCAGCCTTTTCCTGGAATCCAGGCACAAGACACCCACAAAGAATCAAATGAAACTATTGGTAAAGTAACCGCTTCAATTTATGTTTCCCAAGATCATAGACCACGCCTTCCCACACACACCTCAATTTCCCTATTTTCTTTTTCCACCCACAGCCTTTCTAAAAAGTCCATCCTAAGATTCTCCCTCTAATTCAGTTCCTGTTATTCTCCTCCCCTCCCCCCCCAAAAAAGGGGTCTGTCTATCTCTCCTGCCACTTTTTGTCTGTCTCATTACTGTCTGCTCTCCACACCTCTAACTCCATGCCTTCATGCCTTCTTTTACTTTGGGTTGTTTGTTGTTGTTTGTTTGTTTGTTTGTTTGTTTAACTACAGCAGAATCCTTGAAGGTAAAGTCCAGTTTGGGAAATTCTTTGGGGATCTTTCTTCCATGGATTTACAGAGGTACCATCCACAGATCCAAAATGATTCCAAAGAGAACTGCACAGATGAGCTTCCTTCGGGGGCTGCATCAACCATGGAGTCAGCCATCCTCACTCCATCCTTCCCTCACGCTCCTCCCGGTTGAAACTACCTTCCTCTATAGCCAATATGCCTGGGGAACCTATGAAAAAGTTGCTCAGCAATAATAAAGGGGGTCTCAGCCTTTGTTTTGACCTAAATGGTAGTGAAAGCATAACTACTTTCCAGGACACGCTCAGGCTTTGTTTTAATTCCCCCCAATTCCGTGTCTGCTGGGTGTCTGAATTTCAAAGACTGAGCAGGGTTTAGACTGAATTAAGAGTAACTAGATATTTCTGACGCCTTCTGTTGGAAGACAATCTGTGAGCAAGGGGCAATTTTACATGTTGGTAATTTGCACGAGGGTGAAAAATGTCACAAATCCCAGGGACAAATGTAACATGTGCCGCACAGTTTCTGCAGACGGCTAGCAAGTCTCTGGCATGCTAACAGCAGCCCTTAGAGGAGACAAAGCCTCCCTCCTGGTTGCGAGCTCTGGAGGTCTTGCACGTGCGTACCAGGAGGAAGCCCTCAGAGATTTCCTTTCCGCTTGGAGATAAGAAGTCCCTCTCTTCCCCACCGTGACGTTGAAGTCTGTCCCTTACCCATTTTTTAGTGGCTGCCTCTTGAAGGGAGTCAGCTGG